TAAATGAACACAGGTTGCCAGACAGCAAACTTGGCCAGCCCCGACTTGTTTTTATGGCTAACTCTTTGGCTTGCGGGCAAGTTGCTTGGACTCACTCTAATTAGTCAATTTCTTCTCTCTTTTTTTTTTTTTTTTTTTTTACTCAATTAAATCTGTAGTAGCTGTAGTAGTTGCAGGCACTCGAGTAAGCAAATGATGAGCAGTAATTAGTGAGGCCTTCATATAAACGAGTATTTTTACATACAAACATACGTATGTATGCGTAAAAAACTCAGGCGGGGCCGAAGACGAGTCAGCTTCAACTTCAACTTCTACCTTGGCCGCAACCAACGCCGATAAATAATAATTTTCTTGCTGCTTGGGCAATTTATTTCTTTTTTTTTTCCTTTGTGGCATTGCCACAGGATGACAGGTGCAGTGACAACCACACACACACACACGCACACACACACACACACACACACAGGCATTGCACAAGCAATTCTCGCTTATGACCCAGTGGGACTTTTGCCTTAAGCATGCCAAAGTACTTCCCACAGTTGCAAGTTTCGCATGACATATGAAATTTAGCACGAATAATAATTCTGCTTCTTTTCTTTCGCTTTATAAGTATATAAATAAACGATGTACAGCAAAAGTAACATTTCTTATTTATTATTAATTCAAAAAAAAGTCCAAGTCCCTTACAGAAAATGTCATTCTTTCGTAGCCCACGATCCAACTGGGCTCTCTCTCGTGCTGAACAGCACACAGATTCACACACAGACACACACACACACACACACTCCTGCATTTATGGCTGCAGCTACACACAACTTACATGTCATACACACTGCCTTTACATTTATAATCAAGCAGCAAGCCGCAAGACCTCCAGCTCCGTGCTGTTCGTCGCAAATACGCATTACATGGCGCATGATGAAGCATCTTCAAGTGGGCAAAACCAAAACGATTCGATGCTGATGCTGATGCTGTTGCTCCTCAGCCCGGTAGCTTTGCACTTGGTCGGTTGCGGCTTGTAGCTGCTAAATGAAAACATACATTGCGGTCGCAGATTGCACGGGCCCAACTATTGAGTTGGTGCCTCCAAGAGTTGCAAGGCTAAGCACAAGAGTTTGTCTAACGCACAGTGGGATGGCACAAGAAATCTTGCGCTTCCAAAGAGCTTAGCCAAGGAGATACTCTGTAATACAACTGACTGCTTAGGCTATTCGAAAGCCTTCTTAAGCTCAATTGCTTTGATATGTGGCACATACTTCGGTGGCAAACCCTGTTTTAACGGCTTAATTGTGGCAGGGTATAACAAAATGAAAGGTCATTAAAGAAATGGGCACGGCTAATTAACAGTTGGGTTTGGCATTTGCCAATAATAGATACATGTATTTATTGGGCTTTGAGGTTGCCCTATGAATAAATGTGAAAGGCATGTGAATATTGGGAATAGGCGGATCAAAGAGCGAAGGTGAAACAGCTAAGCATAGAAAACAATTTGTGAATTGTCTGATTAGCTTGTTGATGAATGAAGGGTCTACACATTGAGTAACTCAGAAAAATAGTTAATGTCATAAATAATCATTATTCATTTCATTTCTTTGATATATTGATTCGCTCCACTGTGCAGCACAGAAAACATCCTCATCAATGTCGTTGTCGTTGCTGTCGTCGTTGGCATTGCCCGCAGTCAAACCCAGAGACAATCCGAGAGAGTCAGAAGAACCAGTCGGAGCCAAAGCCAAAGTCCACTTGTCCACTTGTCCAGCCAATGCACCGGCAACTCTTTTTTTCAGTGCCGACGTTTCCTACAAATCGTGCAATGATGAAAGCCATGGACAAAGTCTTTGACTTGTATTCAGTTTTTGTTATTACTTGCGCCGCAGCTTCTGTATTTATTTTTTTTTTTCTTTTTCGTGTATTTTCATTTTTTTTCTCGTCTCTTTTAACTGCTTTTTGTGCCGCTTGGAACGCTTTTATGCCCATTCAGTGCATCTTTTTGCCTGCCCCAACATTGTCCGTGCGTCTGTCGGGACGGACAGCTACGTTTTGTGTAAAAGCGACTAATGTGTGTCTACGGAAGCCATTTCGTGCCTTTTAGCTGTGAGTCAGTGCAAAGAGTCAGTCAGGCGACTTGTAACCAGTTTCCAGGCCATCTCTTTCGGTTTGTTTTCTTTGGCAGAAATAAGAAAATGAAAAAAACAAACAAAAACAACAACTAAAAAAAATGTGTAGTTAATTCGCAAAGTAATAATATTATACTCGTACTTATGAATGTCGTCTGAGCAACATGCTGTGCAGTCCCAGTTCCAGTTTCGGTCCCAGTGCCACTTCGACTCCGAGTCCGACTCCCGATTATGGCCAGAAGAACCTGCCGGACCAGCCCCTCAAGCTAAATTGGCTTGAATTTTACGGCTGCTGTTGCTGCTCTTGCTGTGGCTGTTGTTGTTGTTGTTGTCAGCAGCAGCAGCACGGGAACGACAATCGACGATTGGCCTCGCCTCGGCCTCGGCCTCGGTCTGTATTTAAGCGACATCATTCATCTGCCCGCCCATCAACAGCAGCAACAGCAACGGCAGCGCCGGCTGCACAATGCCAATGACGACAGACGCCTGACGATGACGATGTTCTGGATGTTATACGGATGACGATAATGATGTTGATAATAATGATGATGACGACAGCAATAATAATAACAAACAACAACAACAACAACAACAATGGGTAGTCAGAGTCAGGCTGCAAGGCAGCCCTGTGGCCCATCAGACAGCTCTGTACAAAGTACAAGTCCGCATAATTATAATCAACGTCATTTAACGTTGCCGGCCGTCACTCAGCGCCATCTACAACATTTACAACAGCCGCAACAACAACAACAACAATAACAACAACAACTTGTAAACCCAGAGTGCCCCATCAAGCTTATTGTTGTGTATCTTTTGGATACATTTTTGATAACAGAGGGCATAATAACTTTGTCATTAGTTTAGAAATGGAATGGAATGGATGTACGAACATATAACAGCACTATAGAAAACACTAAATGCAGATATTTAACTGTATTAAAATGAGCTTATCATAAAAACGCTTTAGCTTGAGGCCTCTCAATTTATAGAGACTCACTTTGCATATTCTGGATATATAAGTGCACCTGTTCTTTGTTATTTATTTATTTATTAATTTATTATCCTTTATTGGCATATCCCAGACTGAATTATTCCACACATGTGGAAAAGTTTTAAGTCCACCCGTACTTGCTTACCAGTCACACTGTTTTTTATATGAAGATAAACAGTTCAAAGAGCCTAAAGAAATTGCAAACGTGTATAAGACCAAAAACAAGCTGTTAGCACAGCTAAATTGGCAATTGTTAAAGGCAAAGGTAAACGTTAGGTAATATTTTCATTTATTTTAAGCGCAAACATCAAGTTAATTCTCATTTTTGGAAATCCTCCCCACAGCGGTCTAATTGCCTTAAGGGCATCAAATTTTCGACTTGTTGTTAGATTAGCTTTTTCGCTTTAATTTCTTGGCTCGTTTTTCTCATTTCTGTGTGTTGTTTGCTCGCTTACGTTTGTTGACCTTTGTCAACTTGAACACGCGACTAAGCGCTTAAAATTGGTGCAAATACAGTCGTATAGTCGTACTCCAAAGTACTCCAAAGTGTAGCCGGCTGTTTCGTATCTATAAGGCCGGAAGTGCGCTATTTATAACAAATTGCCGCGTGTTTGACATTTAACCAAAAGCCGACGACAACGACGCTGGCATCGCATTAAAGATTCAAATGTGTGTGTGTGTGTGTGTGTGTAGGTTTTAGTCGAGGGGTAGTTGAAACTGGAGGCGTTGCCAGAGTCCACCGCGGACTTTTGGCATGTTATCAAATGTAACCGCACGCCAAATATGCGTCCGATATCCACCGACAGACATTGGGTCTAGTGGTTGGTGGGTTAGCCACGGCTATTTAATATAATATATCGACTGCACAGGCCCAGGTTCTGGGCGTAGGCCCGACGCGAGTTCAGTTACGCGACCTTCTTCATTAAAACTATGACAAGCCGTAATTATCTTCGATTTGCTTTGAGCAACGCATTAATTGCGTGTGAGACAGGGGCAAAATGTTACTCGAGCTCCACATAATTGACGGTACACTTCAAGTGTCGCTCAAGTGAATCCAACAAACTGGTTTGCCTTTCTGTTCTCTTGATCGAAATTCGTCAGCGCCGACAAAGATGCGACTGAGTTATGGCCATGTTAGTCATTTGGTTTTACAAAGCGGCGCAGTTTTCGAGTGACTCAAATCGCTTATTTACAGCGCTGCGAACTGGCTATATGAGTAATTTCTGAGGATTGTCGGGCGGAAGATCTAAAAGATGTACTCATTGATGAAGACAGAGCTAGCTGTAATAAAAAGCAAAATATTTTAGAATTTAAACTTGTTAGAAATTATTTTTTTTGTATACTTAAAAATCAAAATTTAACCAGTATATAAGTATATTTTATTCTTTTTTATAAAAATTCACTATGTGAACTAAGTAATATGAGAATTATATGTTGCACATCTATGGAGTTTGTCTGAATTTGAAATATGCCTGTGCCTGGCACATTTTGCACTTTAATTTTGCTTGTAAAGTTCCGCCCCTGCTTTTTCAATTTCCTCTGCTTGTCGCCTGGTTAACCATTAGTTTCCCTTCATGGGTGACTCTATGCTCCGACAGTCAGTCGTTCGGGCCGTGTTCTTGGGAAACTGCGTGACCAGGTTAATTAAAGCTTCGGAATATGTTGACGAACTGCCGTGTGGTGCGTTTAAAAGTTGCAGCTCCGGTTGCTTGAGACGTCAACTATGTTGTAGAATCTTATAGATACCGGTTCATAATTTATGTAATTATATGCATTTAAACATTGCAGCACGAAAGCTAACTGTGAGCAGCGTCTTTTGTGCTATTATAGCTCGACATCAAATTATAGCAATTATATAATTTTTCTTTCCTTCACTTGTCGTCTATTTACAGAGGGTCGTCCACATCCGCCAGACTCCAGCTGCTCTGTTCGTGTGTGTGCTTGTGTGTGCGTTTATATGTGCGTGTCTGTTTGTGTGACAAGCGCAACTAATGAGCAGCAACAAATCGGAAACAGGAAGCAGCAGCAACAGCAGCAGCAGCAGCAGCAGCAGCAGTAGCTTGGAATGAAAGTAAAACTGCGTGGCCATTATTATCATTACTAAAGAATCGTAACTGTGATAGCACCAAAGAAAGCAGAAACTCAAGCGGCAAGCGCCAAGGCTAAAGATACACAACAAGCAGCAACAGATACATTTACAGATACAGATACAAAAGCTAAACAGTTGCTGCCGCGCGTAATTACGTTTCAGTGATTTTCAAACTAATAAATGTCGTACGCGCAATCGCTGGCAGCAGCAGCAGCAACAACAACAGCAACAGCAACAGCAACAACAATTTACTAAAGCCAAGCAGCCAACAAAACTCCGCACAAAATGGCGCACAAAATGAGGCAGACAACAGGAAAAGCGGCAACAACACAGACGACAGCAACACAGTGCTCCACAAAAGCAACACAAGTTGGCACGCATTCAAGTTCAAGGCGGTCATCGTTAATCACATGTTTTATATCCTGCCACACGTTCAGCTCGCTCTTGTTGTTGCTCGTGCTGCTTGCCACGGCGCAAGCGGCCAGCAAGTTGACCACTCGCAGCAACAGCAGCAGCAGCAGCAACAACAGCAGCAACAACAACACAACATCAGCAGCAGCAGCAGCAGCAGCATCACAGGCGACGCCCGTTTGGGATCATGCCATCGATTTGAATGAGGATTTTCGCATACTATGGCAAATCATTAATCAGGATATAACATTTGAAATACAAGCACGTACATTAGGTTATGTCGGCTTTGGATTTTCGCCTGATGGGAATCTAGCTGGCGCGGATATGGCCATCGGTTGGGTGGACAAGGGTCAAACATATTTTCAGGTGAGTGATAACACAATAAGATAACAAAAAGAAAAACTCACTCTCGTCTGGTCAACCATTTTTCATTTCGGTTCGGGTTACATTTTCATTTTCCAATGCGTGCGGCCGGAAATTAAGGCAGCCAGCTAAATGAAAAGTTGTCGCCCTAATCTCATGCAATTTATTTTCAAGTCTTCAAGCAAACATTTTGATAAATAATATTAAAAAATAAATATACGCAGCAAAAAGCGAGAAACAAAAACAAAAACAAAAAACACAAAAAATTGTTAGCTAAACAAGAAAAGCATTTTACCACTCAACTTGGTTAGTAATTAATTTGTTGGGTGGCAGCAGCGCCAGCAAAACGGACCCAGGACACGAGCCAAGTTCCGTTGAAAAGGCGCGCAAAATATGTGCAAAGTCTCAGCTGGGCAAGTCCTTTGACGGCGCGCCATATGAATAATGACAGCCTCATTTGTAAGGACTTGACGGCTTTTTATTTGAATGTGCTCGCGTTTTTCAGCTCCATGCTTTATGCGTGTGCCCTCCAACTGGGCTTAACATGACCACTAAGCACTAGAGCAAAATTAAATAAGGTGATCGTACAGTAACCAGTAATCCATCCAAAACATATTAAGCTGGATCCGAAACTATCTAGTTTAAGTGAGGGCTTAAATATATTCAAAGTAAATTCTGTGCTGCTACATTAAAAGAAGAATGTGAGGATACCTTAGACATTCCGCAGATTTAATACCCTTGCAGACATTTCTCTTAGGAGCTTGCAGAATAGAATAGAGAAGCTCCTAAATACAGAATTTTAATATCTTGAAAAGCAAAATAATTATATTGCTACAAATTGTCCGATCGTTCTTATGACAGGTTTATGTTTCAGTGCAAGAAATATTTTAAATTTTTTATATATATTTAATGGATAGAGTTTTTATGTGAAATGCTCTGCCAACTAAATGCCAGTTGCCACAGCCTTCTATCATATATGAGCCTAATTTGATATATAACTAAACAGATTGCTTCTGCATTTAATTTGTACATTTTTAAACAATCTTCAAGTTTTCATTTAGTGCTGACAAATTTCCCTAATAGTTCGTTAATAAGCAGTTGTAGTTAACAAAGTCGATAATCCTTGAATATTTTCTAGGCTTAGGGCGTGTCAATTGCTGTGAAAAAAAGGTGGGCATGCGTGCATTTTGCGTGGCTAATACTCAAAAAATTTAATAATGATAATTTTAAAATTTAATTGCTTTTTTAGTTACACTATTTTGTGGCTAGTTGCCGGGCACTATATTGAATATACGAGACTGTGTATGGTGCCCAAACGATTATCAATTGAAATACGTACCTGAGCTGTCATATTGCGGTAGGCTCAAACAACAATTGTCATGCATGTTAGTTTAACGTACATTTTCTTCTGCAGCAAGAATTGAATAGGGCATATACTGTAGTATGTATGTAACGGGCAGAGGAAGTCATCTATGAGTCTGTAGATCGAGAATATTTTATTCTATAGATACCTTTTTTCGCTATTCGAATGAATCACACTTCAAGCTGCAAGCTGCGAGCTGCGTACAGGGCATCGCACAGGCTGGCAAGCTCGACTTGGACACTCATTTTTAGTTTATTTTTCTTTTTTTGCTTTTGGGTAACGCCTTCGGCTACAACAGCGACGTCACTTGGCATAGCTATTGTTGCCCCTCCTCCAGCCCGCTCCTGCTCCTGCAGCGCTCTGCAAGAGTAATAGGAGTCGTCACTGCAAAGTGTCTAATGAAATGCGAGTATTGCGTGTTGTGGTTGCGTAGCTCTCTCTTTTGTATATCTGTGTGAGTGTGTGTGTGTGTGTGTGTGTGTGTTTGTGGTCTCTGTGTGTGTCTGCTGTTTGCTGCCTGGCAGGATATGCGTGTGGCGCCCTACGTGGGTGGCAAGCGGCGGGTGGGCGGCCAATTGTGTCGCTGACACAAACAGCAACTTGGGGCAGGCGCTTTTTTCTTTTGCATTTTCCTTGTGTCTGTGTGATTTAATGATTTGCGAGGCAGCAACGTCAACTACACACACGCCCAGACGGACGAACACACTCACACACACACACACACACAAGCACGCGCGCACACAATGTGATTGTTGCTGAATGTTAAATACCAGATACATTAATATGTCTGCTTGCCCACCTACCGCCCACTCGCTGCGTCTGTTCGTCTGTCAGTCTCTGGGTTTTGTGTGACGGTGTTAATTTCACATCTTGACGTGTCGTTGGTAATTGCGAGTCGCTTCAAATTGTACACACACACACACACACACACACACACACGCACACACAGACAATCCGCATAACGAGTCGTGACTGTCTGACGTTCTGTCTAGCCCGTTTTGGGCTGACTGTCTGACGGCCTTTTTGGATAGCCTGCCCCGCTGTAGTTACCTGCCGGCCTCTATTTAACTATCACCCTTGTTGCTTTTGTGCGAGTGTCTGCTGATTTGTCAAAATGCTACGCATGAAGCCCACACAATGTGTCAAAGGTTAATTAGAGCTAAAATAGATATGCCTATTAATATAATAATTAAGTGTTGAAGTGTAAGTAAAAGCCCGGGAATCAAAGCCATATCAATTGTTTGCTCAAGCTCGGGGCAACTTCGCTGTCCGTCTGTGTGTGTCCGTGTGTGTGCGTGTGTGTGTGTGTGCCAGAAGCTTACAATTGTCTAGCGTACAATGCATAATTGCATGCAATTGTTGAATTATGAAATCAATATTCAATATTTATTGCACAACAGTTTAACGCATTGCAAAATTCGTACTCGCGTTAATTGGCTAATTTTGTGAAAAGCAATTTAAATATTTAAATACTAGACATAAACAATAAATGCAAAGATATCGATTCCGCTCTGCTCGCCCAATGGATACCCTCTACTTGAGGCGTAGGAGACACAATGAGATCTGCTTAGATACTTACTGCGAAAAATTAATATCTTTGCTCAAATGGGGCACCTGTTTTGTGCTGACCAGAATATGCAAATACATTAACACGCATGTATTAAGAAATCTCAAGCCTATCAGACCCTATCAGACTGCATATACACAGCGTATACAAATAAATTTCGAATAGCAAACGGCGCCGGCATTTCTGGCATTTCATATTTTCATTTCAATTTTGCATTTCCAAGTAAACCACACAAAATATCTATGCCTGTGTTCACCAGGGAATTTGTATAATTGTTCAGTTGGCTTTAAACAGGCAAAGCCCAAAGTATTTTAAATTTAATGCCGAGTCGCGCTGTCAGCCCAAGGGCAGATGGACGAAGTGCTGTAGCACAAATAACTATGCACCCGAAAAAGTAGGCATTGGCATAGTTCCCATTTAACAATGTGTGGTAATTATGCGTTGAGAACATTTGCTGGTATTTCATCACATTTGCATGCCATGACATGGCTTAAATATTTGCAAACAATTAAAGTTGATGAATTTTCGGTTCTTGGTGTGGGAATTGATGATATTTTAATATGTCCTATGGAAAATTCCTTAAATAAATACAGAACTTAAGCATATTTGGTTTTAAATAATGCTTTTGTTCAATACACAAAAAAGGATCAGACAAGAAGTCTTTTATAAAATTCATTTTATTTGTATAAATTGTTTAATAATTTGTATAAAAAGTTGAAAGACATTTACAATATTTTGTGCTAATAGTTTTATTGGCTGATCTTTTGCTATAAAATGAACTTTCAACGTACAAAAAGGGAATTTGCATAGTTTATGAATACTTTTATACTCAAATAATTCCAAGCTTGATTCACTTTTATTAATATTCTAATGTACATTCCCAATATTCCTAATTCCTAATACATTTGTTAGCTGTATTAAGACAAAGGGTATTTACATAGGTTCGGCTTACTAAGAGTTGACTTCCCACGATTTTCTCCAAGATTTTAGTCAGTCAGTCGAAACCCAATATCTCAAAGCCTAACCGTTCTAGACATTCCACAAGCGGCACTTTCACCCACAGCTTAAAACAAGCAGCTGCTAAATGGCTGCGTTGGCAAGCGCCCGTTTTAAAGGCTGACATAATAGTCGAGAGCCCCAGGCTGCGATCTGGCCGGAGGGTGTTGGGGGCAGATGCCTATTAGTCGTCCATTATTTGTAGATACTTTGCGATAAGCCATGCCGCCGCGCCCGACAATAGCGCCACACCTAAAAGAGGAGGCTAAAAAGCGAGGAACAACAACAACATTCCGAAAAAAATGAAAACAAAAAAAATACAACAAAAATAAAATACAAATTCGTGTAATTTATTTTCATGTTTTATTGGAGCGGGCTGTTAGCGGGGCCGTGGAGGCTGGCGCTTATCAAAATTTTAATTAATACGCATCAGAGAAACTTTACGAAAATGGGCTTTAACGCTCTGTGGCCCTAAAGCAACGCTCTGACGTTAATTAGTGCCATCCAAGTGGCGACTTTGTTGCACTCCCGTTTCAACTACAGAAACAAAAGTACAAGCCCCAAAAACAAGCCACAACAAGCCATTAGCTAGAGAATCAAGCGATTAGTATCTTAAAAGTACTTAAAAGGTCATTACACTACACACAGGCCAGGCGACTGGCGAACGAGCTGGAGAAGAAAAAAAAACTTAGCCAACAACTAATTATTTAATTTCAAATTTTAAGTATACTGCGGCAGAGGCAACCAACCAACCAACCAACCAGAGTAACGAAGCCAACAAGAGCTGTCAGTCATCTTTGCCTTGCAGCAAATACCAAACGCGCCTCCCCCCCTACCCTTCCACTGTTCAGACGAAAAGAGCTTTTGCCCCTTTGGCACTAACCTAACCCATTAAGCGCAGAGAGATAACAGATCCATTATAGAAGAATTACGAGTACGCAACATCACCCATTGCCATCCCCATCGCCATCGCCTCACCATCTCCATCGTCGTCATCTTTCGCTAATGACCATCGATGTCGATGTCTGCGTGTCGCTGCGATGCGTTGCGCTCCATCGTAGTACATCACTCAACCTC